CAACTGTTACAGGAAGTGTTAGAAGTATGCGCAGAGCAACAAAAGCATTTGAAAAGAGGGTAGTCAACTTATTTGTGCACATATATTCCAGAACAGCCTTTGGAGTTGATCCCGCTGAAATGTATCTTGAAAGGGCTTTCAGTTCATCACCTAAATCACTCGCATCAATATTGCGCATGTCATCATGTGTCAACACTGTCTCTAGTGCCCTGCATTGCTGGTGTAGGTCTTCTTTAGATATAGTGAGGAGTTTTAGAATATCATACAACATCCCAAATAAACTGCTGTGATCCTTGAGCTGCATGAAATGTTCAACTGACTGTATTGCACAATCTAGCATCTGGTTAAAGAATTCAACTTTGAATTGTTGTTTGGGGTCTCTTATGGGATTATCCCGTGCCTCGTAATCAAAATGTCATCTTCTTCGGTGACGCTTGTATTCTTGAATGGGTGGCAAAATAGCTTCAGTGTGAAGGAAGGATTCCTCTACCAACTTCTGTGCACTCTTCAGAACATTTTGAAATCCCTCATCTGACCAGTAAGACTGTAGGTATGACTTTGCTTTGTCCAGTTGTTCCATTGCTCCAGATGTATCAAGATCAACACCTTGGAGTCTCTTGCTTACAACATTTATTTCAAACAGTATGTCATGCCACAACACTAAGCCACACAGAAATTTGAAGTTATGAATGTTTCTGGTGATTCCAATTCCCTCTGCCACTGTTCTCCCACGATCAGTTCCTGTCATAGCATTATCCTCCATAATGGCAACTATGGCATCATCTATCTTCCCAATTTGGTGTTTGATAGGCTTTATCGCCTCCACTCGACTTTCCCATCGTGTGGCACTCAGTGGTTTCAGTGTCAGAGAGGATGTTCCTTCAAAATTTGCCATCGATGAGTTGATGCAGAGATGCTTTGAATTACATTAAAAAATTCAGCAGCCTCACTAGAAGCTGATGCTGCATCACTGACCACCAAGTTCAATGATTGAGAACTGCATGGGACAAAAAAAGCTCGAGGGTTTAGCTCTCGGATTCATGTCTGCACTCCTCTGTTCTTTCCTCTCATGTTGGCACCATTATCATAGCCCTGACTTCTCATGTCAGCTATCACAATTCTCATATCTTCCAGTTTTTTAAGAAGCACATTTGTCATACCAGCTCCGTAATATCATCAGTGTCAATAAATTCTAGAAAATGGCTCTCTGACAGTCACCACTGCAGTGACATTTTCACTAGGTTTTGTTGTTGTTACAAAAAGCACCATTAATGTCATTTGTTCCATATGGCTGAAGTCAGGTGTGCAGTCCAGAATAACAGAGTAATATCTTGCTGTCTTCATATCTGCCACAATCTTCTGTTTGACTTTTGTTGCCAGTAACGGTTCGATCTCATTTTGAATTGTTTTTCCAAGGTAGTGGTGTGTGTACATTTCTTGGATGGTGACACTTCTTAGATGCTCCTGGAGTACAGCATCAAACTCAGCCATCAGCGCCACAATTTTAAGGAAGTTTCCATTGTTTGGCACATACAGCTGATCTGAAGTGCCATGCAGTGCTAGGTTTCGGGTAGCAACATTCTCACAATGGCAATGAGCCTTTTCAGAACATTTTGCCAATAAAGAGACTCTGATGCAATCTTCTCTTGATGCTGATCATCTATGGTGGCCTCTAACCTTAGTCTCATCCACCTGTGGAATGCTCTCTGGTGATGCCAGATTTCTAGCCAGATTTTTTCAGTCCTTTGTTCCTGTAGAACCTAAGGTGGCTGGAACGTTAGACTGGAAGAGTTTGCAACAAAAACAGTATGCAGCATTCTGGGTTTTTGAGTACATAAGCTATCGCCTCTCCACTTTGTCACCATTGGGGATTTCACACCAGTAATGTGTTGGGTGGAAACTTCTATTTTCATTGTCTTTGGGGAACATGAAGTTTTTCACTTGCTGTGGCCCATGCTGTACAAGGAAGTCCCTCAGGCTACTGCTCAAGTGGGTCCACAGTCCTGGATCATCTAGACTTAAGGAACTAAACTCAGCAGCAGCTGTTTCTTGCGCCTCCACCACACTCTTCTCTGATCTACACTTTTTTTCAGGAATGTGCATGGTTACATCCATTTGAGATGGAGATATGGATGCTGCAGTAGCTGTCAGGTCACCTGCACTCTGACTAACGGGAAGATCAGGCATCTCCTCAACACTAACATCCTCCCTGGGGCTGGAAGGCTCACCATGAACATTTGTGTCTATGTATCTCAGGAGAGCTTCTTCCTGCTTAGATAGAAAAGCTTCCTTTGCTTGCTTGCTTTTTCTGAATGCTGCCCCAGAGGGGCGTTTTCTTCTTTCACTCATGACTGCTGTTCTGTGCCAGCTATAGTGGCTCTCAACACTCAATTGAAGGGGACAAATAAGCAGGCTGGTAGCAGGGCCTGAGTGAGGGAAGATATCAGGGTCTTAAGGGCCTAACTGGCTCCTACTACTTCAGTTGACTGCCTGTTCTCCTCAAGTGGGTTCAGAGAAGCAGCAGGAAACAGGAAGCTCCCTGAGAAGCTGGTGTTAATCAGTCCAGGCTCCTGGGGGTGCTAGAGAGGTACATAAGAGGCTCTTCCTCCTCCTCTCTCTCCCTGCAGCTCCTGCTGCTTTCTGTTATTCCCTCTCACCTTTTCTCCTGCCTGCCTGTTATGTCTCTTGTGCCCTCCTTCCTCCAGCACAACACTCCACCATCTCTGTGCATCTAGAGCAGAGAGAATACATATGCACCAGCCGCAGACACAATTTTCTACACTCTGGGTCTTAGTGGCCGCCTTCCCCACACCCGCCCCAAGTCTGGCACCTGAGGCGGCCGCCTCAGTTCGCCTCATGGTAAGGCCAGCCCTGAGTTAAACCCTTTATTTACATAAAGTTAAATAATAAAGTCAAGGTGCTGTACAAAGTGACCACACTTGACTGAGGGGAAATCTTTCCCCAAGGCACAGCTCTCTCTCTCCAGAATAGATTCTAATACTGCACAGATCATTGTGAGGAAATCCTTATCATCAATCAGCTCCATTGCTCCTTTTTGTTCGGAGTCCATCATGCAGGAGACAGAATTGTTCCTCAGCATTCTCATGTCATTTCATTTCACCCTGTCTGTGTTACCATCGTTTAATAGATTCCCCTGACTCTGGGCCCAGAACATGAGGCGTAACAGGTGAAGCGTTTCATATCATCTGATATCTCATACGAGTGTTAATGCTGAGCATTAGAGACTTCAGGTGAAAGTCCGGACTGGCCTTCAGACTAGAGACAGTTGATCTGTTAAACTCTGAGGGCTCAGAAAAAGTAAAAGATTACTGGAAATAATTGGGGCTGATCCAAAGCTATGTGAGGTCAACAAGAGTTTTTCCAATGACTTCAATTGGCTTTGGATGATTCCCAATGTGCACGCCATGGGATATACAGATCCACAGTAAACTCATTGATAAATGCGCATGACAAGTTTGATTGGCATTTGAAATGATCCTTTTTCTTTTAACCCTTGTGCTGTTTTGTAGGACGGAAGGAGATCATCAAACCCAGCCTTCTGGTGGGTAAATGGAAGAGGAAATGAAGTGAGGTGGAGCTTTGAGGAGCTGGGATTCCACTCCAGAAAAGTGGCCAATGTCCTCTCTGATATATGTGGTCTGCAGAAGGGAGACAGAGTTATGCTGATTCTGCCCCGGATACCGGAATGGTGGCTGGTGAATGTGGCTTGTATGCGAACAGGTCAGTTTCAGATTGCTGAACTTGATAGCTGAAAAATGTTAAGAACAGAAGTTTTAGTTTTTTTCATAAAGAAGAAAACTATATACATTAATTAACTACTAAACAGTTTTTGCCAACCAATATAGATCCAAATTCATTTTTGGTATAAGTTGGGGAATAATTTTTGGGTATGTTCCCACACAGAAAATGATCAAATTAAAAATATCCTCTTAAAAAGTAACCTTATTGCTCTTCCAGGAATCGTCCTCATTGTAGGGACCTCCCAATTAACAGCTAAAGACATTTTGTATAGACTCCAGGCTTCTAAGGCCACGTGTATCATTACCAATGATATGGTGGCATCTACAGTGGACGCAGTTGCATCTGATTGCCAGTTTCTGAAAACCAAGTTAATTGTATCCGAAGGCAGAAGAGATGGGTGGCTGAACTTTAATGAACTATACAAGTAAGTAGGCATTAGCAGTGCTACAATAACAGGATAGAAAATGAGGGTTTCTCAAAAGTACATTGTATCCTTTAGACACAGAGTCAGGCATTAATGGAGTTTTTTGCAACAGCCTTGCTGATGTTTCCAAATCAGAGTTGCTTTTCTAACAGCAGTCTCTTTCCAGGTGGGTCCCATCCTATCCTTACTTAATGGGCGTTCTGTACATGAAATAGGGGCAGGAACTAGACCTAAGTTGTTTTTGTCTAATTTGGTCAAACATGTCTATGGAATGATTGGCCCTTGGTGCTCATGTGGACATCTCCAAATCTCTTCCTTTTGAAAACTAGACTGGAAGTCTCACTGCAGAATTTTTTGAGTATTCCTGTGCTTCCAAATTCTAGCCTGGTCAGCTAGATCACAAGAATAACATTTCTAATTGTTCTTTGGAATCTCTGCTCCGATGTGGACCCAGGAAATAGATGCAGTGTGATATTTTCTTTAAAGTTAATCCATTTTTTAAAATCTCAACATGTTTGGATTCAGTTTAGATCACATTTTGAACTTCTTTTTTTTCTGAATGTGTTCTTCCATAGGTAGCTGCCTGATTTATACCCCAATTCCTCACCTCCTTCTTAGATTTCTCAGATCCAATGAAGTGCAAGTGATGATGTGGTATCCACATCTCCCTTCTTGATTGTCCCACCAATAGATCAATTTTTGCTTCCTACATGAAGCTTTCCTGGTGTCTTCCTTCTCTTTCTCCTTTAAGAAGAATCTACCATGCTGATTTCTCACTAACTTTTCTGTTTAATTATATTAACTGGATAGGATTTAATGCTGGATGAGAAATGAGACTAGAGTAAGGCAGGCTATCTGAAAGAAAGTCAGTGCTCTCATCCAGGAAGATGTAATATCCAAAGGACACAAGAGGAGCTTAATCTGGGATGGGAAAGAGGGCAGTTGCAACACCTAATCCACATTTGCATGCCAAAACCTCAGTAGATTGCACCTGTATCCACTTTAGCCACCATTGTATTCTATATTTTAAAGAGCACAACCTGCTGATCACATCTGCGTTAAAACAAAGATTCAAGACCCAATGATTATCTACTTTACCAGCGGAACCACAGGTTCTCCAAAGATGGCTGAACACTCCCAAGGCAGTCTTGGTTTCAGACCTGTCATAAGTGAAAGGTAAGGACTGTGGCTCTGGTATTTTATAACATGGAACCAAACTGAGTGTGAAGTGGAAAGCATGAGTCTGGTTGACCAAGATAACTGAGATACACCAAAGGTCTGATTAAGAAGAATTGGGTAAGAAATATGCAATGTGTGGCTTCAATCCTGCTCCCTAATGATGTCACTGGCAAAACTCCCCGTCTACAAGGGAAGTGAGATCAGACCTCATCTTTCCATTTTGAATTAAGGAATGACTCCCAGCATTTCTTGAGAGGAATTCAGGTGACAACCTACAACTGGAGATAACTCTAGAAGCACAACTCCCATAGATACCATGTGCTTGGGGCTGCAGAGCATCTTGGGATTGGACAGCTGTGCAAAAGCAAGAGAACTCCATGACACAGATCAACTTTGCCCCCAGCACAACCACTGAGATCCATGAATTTAAAGAGTGGAAGTCCCAGCTTCCTCCATAAAATCTTCCTCTTCTTCCTCTACCACCTTACTTCTCTCCACCCCCTCCACCTCCCACCCCCGCCAATGCAATAATGGAAGAACACAAAGGAAATTCACCCTGATTACATTCAGAGTCTCCACCTCCCCAGCTCTCCCAGATGGGTTATTCCTGCAAAGAGAATGGAGCCCACAAACTCGTCATGAGGCAATACCATTGTTAATGCTTATTGTGTATACACCTAGTTAAAGTTCTTGATTTCTAGTTCCATTGTCTATTAAAAAAAAAAACTTTTCCGTAACCACTCTTTTCTCTTCATATCAGATACTGGCTGGATTTGACTCCTGAAGACATGATGTGGTGCTTATCAGATACAGGCTGGATAATAGCTTCGCTGGGATCTGTTCTCGATCCATGGGTTTTCGGGTCATGTGTCTTTGTACACAGCCTTCCACATGTTGAATCAACAACTCTCCTAAATGTAAGAAAAAAGTCATCCTGTAGGTTTGCTGAAGTTTCCCCATGTGCAAGGTAGACCTCAAAACAAATCTTGAATTAACTGAGCGGCTCCTATTAGGTTTTTTCACTTCAGGTCAATCAAAATGTTTTGTTTAAATTTTGACCTTTCCTCAACTTTTTTTAAGTCAGGAAATTCATTGAACGCAACACAGGTTCAGTTTAGACAAATCAGTATTTTTGACAAAATAATGATTAGTTGAAAAACTAACTCTAATCCTGAGGTCATTACTTACTCTTTATTCATAGCATTCCAGAACATGTATGTAAAGTAACACTCAACAGCTGTAGTAACTAGTGACATTTCAGGGGGGAAACCCAGAAGAGAGCCAGAATGTTGGTACAGTTGATGTAGAGATAGTTTTTGATAATATCAGTGATTACAGTTGTTTGAAACTAGAGAAGGAGCTCTCTCTACACTGACTAAGGAGGAGGGTGAGATTGGGGAGTGGACTTCCCCTCTGTTTTTTAGCAGAGGGGAAGTCCACTCCCGTACTCCCTTAGCTAATGTAATCTTTGCTGCAGTTCACACATAAACTTTGTTCATCTTGTTGTTTTATTTCACTAGACTCTCTCCAGATTTCCCATCACCACTATCTTTGGTGCTCCAACTTTGTTCCGCATGCTGGTGCAGCATGATCTTACCAGGTACTTCAGGAGAGAGATGACTTACTAACAATACTCACCTGAATAAATTTTAATGAAATCACAACTCTAGGTGCTTGGCACAATATATTGAGTTTCATCAGTATAACCAGCATCTTCTGAAAAGATAGTTATGAGAAATGCATGGGGTTTGCATAATTTCATTATGAAAGGTGGAGGAAACACAGCATTTTCAACTGTTTCTCTCCAAAATTTGGGGGGGTCACTCAAAGCTGACATTCTTAGCAAAGCTCGAAGGGGCTGAAGCCAAGTGCATCAAACCAAGAAACAATGTTCTCATGAACCCATGTAGAGGTGCTCAGATTCCATGGTGATGGGTGACCTTCTGAAAACTTAAGTAGACCTAGCTGGTGTGTCAAATTTTACACCGTGTCAGAAACACTAGTTAGTGCGATGACTTCAGTGCTGGAAATACAACCCTCCAAAGATGGTCCTTCTGCACATGACGTAGTTTAATCATGAGGTGGCAGGACTCACAAGAAATCTTTTGTACTGAATTTTGCTGAATACTAGCAAAATTCTCTACCATAAATTTCAGTTACCAAAGGATTTTGTTTTTCATACCTTAGTGATGTGTTTTTCATAATGGCCCATTCATGTGACTGTAACTGAGTAGGAATGTGGGCTGACTTCAGTGGGACTACTGTACAAAGTTTAGCATAGGCATATGTCCTCGCAGAATCAGGAGCTAAAGTAGCTGAAATCTCTTCCTCTGATTTCTGTACTTGAGTGAAGATAACTCTTTCAACTAAGAGCTTTCCATTATTGTTTGTTGACATTTGCAAGCCCTTTAGCTGCTGTGCTTATCACCAAAAGCCACTAGAATCCAGCGACAGGGCCCTTTGCCCTCAATGGTCTTTCAGTGACTCTCATGACTTTTTAAATCCTTATTAAGTTACAAGTTCATGAGTCTGCAGCACTGTGTGAGTGGAGGGGAGCAACTCAACCCAGAAGTGATCGAGCAGTGGAAAAGGAAGACTGGCCTGACTATCTATGAAATATATGGACAAACAGAAACAGTATGTTCAAATGGGTTAATAATGTGTTAATTAGTTTTAATTTCTTTTGCTTTTTTGAGTTGCATGGTTAAAAAAGCCAAAAGGAAACCATTTTGTTACTTACTTGAAATGTCAAGGAAGAGTCCATTAAAATACAGTAACTTATAAATTTATGTTGATTCGAAAACATGGCTATCTTGTAGAGCTCAGGGAAAAGGTGGAGTTTTTTGTGCTTTCATTTTTCCATAAAGATTTCTGAGAAAATCCTGAGTGAAGTGATAGGGAAGAAGGAGGATGTTGTTGCTAAGATATAGGACTTGGGGTCAAGATACCTGGACTCTTTTACAGGTTGTTTCACAGACTTGCTGTGTGACCTCATGCAAGTTACTCCACTGTCCCAATCTTTAAAATACTTGCCTAGCCCACAGGGTTTTTGTAACCCTTAATTCATAGCAGTTTGGAATTGAAGTGGAAAATTAATGAATGTAGAACCTGACTGAATATATGTAATATTTCTGCAGAAATAAAACTCTCTTTTTACAGGGATTAGTTTGTTCCGTTTTCAAAGGGATGAAGATTAAACCCGGATCAATGGGAAAGGCAGTTCCCCTTTACGATGTTCAGGTTTGTTAATACAACTTCCTGTCTTGTATCAGTTTGTTATTTGCTTTACTGAAGTATGTTTTTCTTCTTCTAGATCATCGATGAGAATGCTAATGTTCTGCCTCCAGGACAAGAAGGGGAAATTGCCATCAGAATCAAACCTAAAAGGCCACTTGGTCTTTTCTCTAAGTACATAGTAAGGAACCTGTTTTACCACCATAGGAAATCCCTCTAATTCCATACTAGATACAAAGACCCAGATTTTCATCAGATTTTATGCCTACTCACCACTCTCAAGGTCATGAACTGTACTAATAGTCCTCCCGACTAAGGAGAATCTGAAGGAACTCTCTTCAAAGTAGAGATGGGACCCAAGTTAAAAGAATCTAGATCCAGATTTCAATCATCTCAACATTTTGAGGTGTTTGGATCCAGGGTTTTGGTTCATTACCTTTTTAAAACTGGGCTCTGAAAGTCAAGCTGAAGTTCCATCTAGCACATCCTCGCCGATGACCCTGACTGCACTGAGTATTATATGTGTAATGTGCATTATTTGTGCACTTATAATGCACCTCCGTGTGGATATAAATCGAAAGTTTTGAGCAGGTGATGAGGACATTTAGAAACCTAGACTTCCTTTCCTGACTGTGCCACCACCTTGCTGTGTGACCTAGATAAATAAAAATATGTAAATAAAGGCTGTAGCAGAGCATGCATCCCTATGTGTCCTGGAGAATTCAAGGAGGAATTTGGAAGCAGAATGCCCCCTGGGTCTCCTCCTTTACTATGGATTATATCTATATCTAATTCTGAACCTCTGTCTGAACCGTTCCCCGTCAATGAGGTGGAGTTTAGAATACCCACTTTTGTACAACTCTTTGAGATTCTGTTACCAAAGGTGCTATTTAAAGACAAAGGATTATTATTTATTTGTCTTTCATTGCTATACATTAATATGCTATACAGGGCTGATCACTTTACAGTTGTGTGTAAAACAGCAGAATTTATGATTAAACTACGCTAAAGATTTTAATTGTCATTTGTGAAATGTTATCAGGATAACCCTGAGAAAACCGCTTCATCAGAACGTGGAAATTTTTTTGTCACGGGGGACAGAGGGACTATGGATGAAGATGGATATTTCTGGTTTCTTGGAAGATCTGATGATGTCATCAATTCTTCAGGGTTAGTTTGTTTTACTGGTTTTGCAAGCTTTCTGTGTAGTTCTATCATCATATAACATAACATTTATAAGAGAGGAACTGGTGATGAGTTTCTTGGCAGGAAGGAACTTACAAGGGGACTTACAAATGAATCAGACATAGTCTTATTCCGGTAGCATGGTTCAGTGACTAGTGCATTGGACTAGGACTCAGGAGAGCTGGATTCTATCTTTGGCTCTGCCACTGCCCTGCTGTGTAACCTTGGTGAAGTCAGTTCCTGCCTCTGTTTCTCCTGCCACCCTTTGTCTGTCTGATTGTAAGCTCTTGGAGGAGGGAGTTTTTGCAGCACGCCTAGCACAATGTGGGTCTGATTTTGGTTGGGGCCTTAGGCAATAATCAGTTCTTTCTTACCCCAGTACTGGTTAAAAGACATATTCACACCAGATCAATATAATTAAATACCTCATTTTCCTCTCCTAGGTATCGTATTGGACCATTTGAAGTAGAGAATGCCTTGATAGAGCACCCAGCTGTAGTAGAATCTGCTGCTGTCAGCAGCCCAGACCCCCTCAGAGGCGAGGTAATGAGGTTGAGAGTGATGAGGAAAATATTTCAAGGAGGCAAAACGGTTTGTGATTCACTGTACAAAGTGCAGCTGTTGCACAGCATCACGTCAGTGTGAATAGTCTTTTACCAGGGTGATAAACAGAACCCTATGTACATCCCTTTGCTCTATTTATTCATCTCCACAGTCTCTCCCCAAGAGATAATTATGGTGACAGACACTTTCCCATCAATGGACCTTCCTGCTATTAAGGACTTGTCAACACACACAAGTTGTAACTTTTTACAGTACTGGTATAGTTAGAGCAGTACAGCACCCTTTGTGTGGATGCAGTTACTGGTAGAAATGTGCTGATATCGGTACAGCTATTCCCATACTGGAAGGGGAATAAGCTATACTGGTACAGGGCAACTTTATACTGGTATAATTGTATCCATTCTAGTGGTTACATTGGAAAAAAAAAATCACACCCTGCATCAGCATAGTTATACCAGGACAAAAACTGTGTGCAGAGAAGGTGTAAGAGTGCCTTGAAAGCACAGTCCTGCCATTGTGGAGTGGAACTGTACTGCCTCAGTGTGAGTTGTGTGACCAGTGCATGCTCAGTGCTTCAGAGAAATCAAAGCTTCCTGAAGCTCCCGCAGAGCACAGTCACTGCAATCCCCCTTCCATGTGCTCCTTCCTAAGCCCGACCAGCTCTCCTGCTTAGCGTGTGTGATGGGGGAAGCAAGGCCACGGCCATGCTTCCTACTGGCATGGCCGCTTTGGAGACGGTGGAAGCACGAACCAGGAGAAACCATTGTGCTTGTGAGAACTACAATTGCATGTGAACCCCGCACTGCTGTGAAGGGCAGAGGGGACAGTCCTTGCACTCCTCCTCTCACTTACCTGCCTACACACATGCTGGTCACAGGCTGGCACTCAGTTTTAGAGACAGACTGGCTTCTTCACACATCTCTTAACTATCTCGTGGTCTGGGAGGGATATTGCTAACTGGGAACTAAATCTAACAATATTTATAAATTGCTGGTGTCAGTTTGGTACTATTGATTTTACCCTGTAGGTGGTGAAAGCTTTTGTGGTCTTGTCACCTGCCTTTTCCTCGTGTGACCTGGAAAAATTAACGCTTGAGTTGCAGGAGCATGTCAAGAAAGTTACCGCTCCATACAAATATCCCAGAAAGGTAAGTACTCCCAAGGGGTGATTTTTAACATGGGAAATGTCTCCTTCTTAAATCTCTCCAGAATGAACCATTCTGGGTTTACTTAGAACGACAGAGATTCCTTCACTCATCTAAAAGAGAGAGATCAAGATTTAGAGAGACCATTTGGTTCAGGGAAACTTTTCTAAATCTCATTTATTTTCTCTTTCATAAGTTTTTAATAAAATTGTTTGTTAATAAATGTACCCCTGTACCTTTAAAAATATTCCTGGGCCAGGTAGAATGTCCTAGTTAGATACTCCCCATGTTCCAAACCAGGGGTAAAATCATCGGCTTCTTACTTAGCTTTTACTTACTCCTTGCTCAGGAACACTCCAGTGATGTCAGTGGAAATTTGCCTCATTGAAAATTGATGAATGATTTGTCCTTTTGGCTTTGGAGTAAACATATTAGCGACAGCCCCAGAAGTATCCATCTTACGTTTCTTACGAAACCCAGTGCATCTTGGGAAACTGTATGTGCAATCAATTAGGGCACCTCTACACATACAAAACTGCAGCAGCGCAGCACTACCTATGCAGGCAGCTGTGCTGCTGCAGCGCATTAAGTGAAGACGCTCTATGCTGACAGGAAAGAGCTCTCCCATCGGCATAATAAAAACACCTCTATGAATGGCAGAAGCTATGTCGGTGGGAAGAGCTCTCCTGCCAACATAACGCTGTGCACACGAGCGCTTGTCGGTTTAACTTATGTCACTCAGGAGGTGGTTTATTCACACCTCTGAGTGTGATAAGTTATGCCGACAAGCTGTAGTGTAGATGTAGTCTCAGTTAGTGCCTGATTCTGGAAACTGTCAGGCAAGTAGCCCTGACTCATGTGAGTCCTCCCATTCTTCCACATGGGGTCAGAGCCACCATTGCAAAAAAAAATCCCAAAACATCACTGGGAAGCATACTAATTTGTTTTGTGTTTTTTATTAGATGGAATTTGTCCAACAGCTACCGAAGACAATCACTGGGAAAATCAAGAGGAACGAGTTAAGGAACAAAGAATGGGGACAAATGTAACATTGTTGGGAGTTTAACATAACTTCTTTCACTCCAGTGATGCCATGCAAGCTGTAACAGTTCTCAGGGTGCCCCGAACTGTGTTACCTTGTTCTCCTCCTCTTTCCCCCCCCCCATACTGCCACAGAGAGAGACTTGCTGGTGCTTAACCAGTCTGTTAGTCGCCCAAACAATCTCCTCAGGGCAATGCAAGTCCTCATTTTTCTTTGCAGATTAACGATAGGTGCACCCTAGTCCCCGAACCACCTTTGAAGTGTTCCCCTGTGATAGCCAGCCTGACCGGGGATGGTCTCTAGATAATACTTAGTGCTGCCACAAGTGCAGGGGACTGGGCTAGATGACCTCTCGAGGTCCCTTCTAGTCTTATGATTTTATGATTCTGAGCTGCTGTTACAGAAATAGTGAACCATTTGCTAGTTAAAAAGAACAGGAGTACTTGTGGCATCTTAGAGACTAAAAAATTTATTAGAGCATAAGCTTTCGTGGGCTACAACCCACTTCTTCGGATGCATAAGTGGGTTGTAGCCCACGAAAGCTTATGCTCGAATAAATTTGTTAGTCTCTAAGGTGCCACAAGTACTCCTGTTCTTTTTGAGGATACAGACTAACACGGCTGCTACCCTGAAACCTGTCATTTGCTAGTTGGCATTGAGAGGTTCTTAGGGTGTCAGTGTCTCTGTTATAATTGCCTTTTTTCTATTGGATTTTTCCAATATCATGAGCACCTAGATTACCTGGAAAATTGAACAGAAGGACCCAGGCTGCAAAATTGAATCCTATGATGAACCCAAGCTACAAAGTTCAGATCTGGTTGCAAAACCAAACTTTCCCAAATGTGGTTTCAGTTTGAAGCATTTTATAGATAGGGGCCAGCAGCAGAGTTCTGCTCTAAACCTGAACTTTCCCAAAATCCATTGTGTTCAGATCCAGGATTTGGCTGTGTTGCATCTATGCTCTGGAAAGTATTTGAGATCAGTGAGAGAGTGTTGCAAGCTGCAGAAAAATACAGAGATGTCCTTTGGAAGTTAAATGATTTACCTTATTCAAGCTATAGACCAGGGCCAAGGGACGTACTGGCCACTGTTTCCAGCAGCTCCCATTGGCCTGGAGCAGCGAAACGCAGCCACTGGGAGCCGCGATCGGCCGAATCTGCAGACACGGCAGGTAAACAAATTGGCCCGGCCCACCAGGGGCTTTTCCTACACAAGTGGCTTCCCAAGTTTGGGAAACACTGCTATAGACCAATACATCCAGCCATGTGAAAACAGAAAGGCCTTTGACTGATAACACCTCCAGCCACCACACTTTAATATACACACAACTGACAATGGGGGCCAGCTGATACCATGGCCACCCTTTGTCAACAAGCACTACCCACTACAGAGGCAATCAGCCTAGGTGTGGCTCCCCAGCCTCACTTCTAATCTTGGCCAGGAGTAGAGAAAATACTTGTATCACCTCTGCAAGTCACTGAGAAAGAGGTCTGAACTGCTTGTTGTTGGACAGGTGAAACCCAGTCAGGTTGAACAAACCCAGGTTCTCTGCCATTTTACCCCCATGTGGCAGGACAAGCCCATCACTGGGCTCTTTAATGTAATAGTCATCTAGATCGTATTATTGGTCAATGAACAGACTTTCTGAATGTCCTACATGGCTTACTATGTGGGATTGTGTCTCCCTTTAGCAACTAGCCCCATGCTCCTATAATGTTGTGTCTGTGGGCATATGGCCACAGTTTGTTACAGTAGCATGTGCTGTAGAGTGCTGAGTTCTAAGGACGTACCAATTCTTAACTCTTCATCACCAACTGTTGCACTTTGCCCACTCAAGAAAGCTTAATTTTTTGGCATGTGATCTTTCTATAGCACTCAAAATGTCTTTGACAATCAGCTGTCCTCCTCCAGTCCCTAAACAGCAAGACATTTTTAGAGAGCAGCACCTTCTTGTGGGCTGACAGAAAAGCTTTTACACTCAGCATCCCTAGAAGTGTGTGCATCACCCCTCTGCAGCTGGATTTTTATTGTGATTATAAAACAAGATTTGGAATGTGACTATTTTGAGCAATGAAAAACATTTATTTGCTAGGAATAAACACTTGTCTGTGCCAATGAAATCATTTCTGTGCTAAAGACTGCAATGAATGCAAAAGAAGTTCAATAAACACAATATTTACTTTGCACCCTGTTTTGGTGATGGTTTATTTTTTAAATGTACATCAGTGTGTCACAGATTTTAAAATACTGTTCAGTTATCTTCCTCCAATAGCATTTCAGATACATATGTTACAGCAATTCAGTCAAACTAATCATTCCTCTCAACTACCCAGTCTTCTTCCTTTTCCACCAGGTGCCTTGAATGCCTCAAACTCCCTTCTCTACTCCCAGCTGAATCCCCTTGAATCTAGTTTCTGAGGCTTGTGTACTCCCAGAACATCTTTAACCAAGGTCACCTTCTCCTGGCCAAGTCCAAGGACTCCTCCTTGATCTGTCTGCCACTTTCAACACAACTGATCACTCCCTCCTGAATTCTAGCTTCTCTTTCTCTTCTTACTGATGCAAAGCCTCCTTCAGCATTTTCAATGGTTCCACCTCCTTCCCTCTGTTTGGCATCTTGCAAATCTTTCCACTCAGTTCTCTTCTCCTTTTCTCTGATACTTTATCTCTGGGTGACATCATAGATTCATAGATTCTAGGACTGGAAGGGACCTCAAGAGGTCATAGAGTCCAGTCCCCTGCCCACATGGCAGGACCAAATACTGTCTAGACCATCCCTGATAGACATTTATCTAACCTACTCTTAAATATCTCCAGAGATGGAGATTCCACAACCTCCCTAGGCAATTTATTCCAGTGTTTTATCATTTGCACTCATGGTTGATGACTCCCAAACCTACCTCTCAATACTCCTCCTTTCCTCCTCTGTGCAATCTCACATCTCCATTTGACTTTCCAGCAGGTCAGCCTGGCTGTCAGAGTTGCAGTTCAAACTAAGGCAATATCTACATAGCAGCTGAGAGAGTGCTTCCCAGAGCATGTAGACAAGATATGCACTAGCTCTGCTCGAGCTAGAATGCTAAAAATAGCAGCATGGCAGTAGCAGCATAGGCGGCAGCTCAGGCTAGCTACCCTAGTATGTACCTACAGGGTCAGGCAGGATTGTACTTGAGGGAGGCTAGCTCAAACCACCGCCCGTGCCACTGTGGCCAATGCTATTTTTAGTGCACTAACTCAGTCAGAGCTATCAGATGTCTGTCTACGAGGGCGGGGAAGCACCCTCCCAGCTCGTATGTAGCTATATCCTCTACCTGCCAAAATCAATCTCCCCATCTTCCCCTTCAAACTGGCTCCTCTCCTTCACCACAACAAACTCCACCGGTCTCCTCCTCAGCTCTTATCTTTGGTGCTGCAGTCAGGAGGGGCCACTCTCTCTCAATTCCAGCGATATTCTAGGAGCCAGCCCCTTGTACCCCACAATATGTGCACGCATGTACACAGAGCGGTAGGAGTAGGAAACATTCTCTTTCCCACTGCAATGGCTCTGCACTAAGCTGCAAGGGAACACCTCATGAGGCCTAGCACAATAGCTAGGGAACCCCTAACTGCATTAAGAAGTGGAAAACCCTAATTCCTAGGCCCCACAGGGAAACCTTGGGATTGGAGAGGCTAGTAGCCCTGCTCAACATGCCTGCTGACAGCACAATGGCTTCTCTTTCCCCTTTCCCCCCATCCAATGGGTCTTCTGGGGGCATCAGCTAGCTGTTCTCCATTTTGTTCTGTCAGGGGGCATGCGGAGATGGGCTACTACCCTCTCCAATGTCAGAGGCAGGAATTCTGAACACTTGAGTTCTATTCATGGCTCTGCCATTCAGCTGTTATATGGCAAAGTAACTCAAGCCACATTTTCAAAATTTGGCACAAAATTCAGCCCTGCATCCAGATTTAGGCTCCTAAATAAGATTAAGATCAGGAACTTTAAAGAGTTAGCGTGAAATTCTGCCCCACTGACGTCAATAGGAGTTTTGCAGTCAACTTCAGTGGAGCCAGGATTCATTTAGTTTGCTGATTATCCAGACTCTAATCCAGTCTGTTAAATATAAAGAGCTATTTTATTTTTTGCAAGCTTGAACTATGGAACTGCCCCCACTATTACCATGCAAGAGTGTGGACTCACCCCTGCGGCACCTCCTGCTGGTCATCCATGGGAATTAGATCCACCAGCCTTGGAGCACTCTCTGCAGACCAGTGATCCGCCTCACCACTGGCCCCCCATGTCCCTCCCAGACCTGGTGCCCCTTTATCTGGGGGCTGCCCCCTGGCAGTAACCCCTTTCTCTTTGGGTCTCCCCTCCCCAAGGAACCCCCACCCACTAACCCCACCTTGCCTCAGTGAAAGGTTACTGCCAGTCACCATCTAGCCCCACTCCCTGGGGCAGACTGCAGTATAAGCCACTCATCATAGGCAAGGTTTGGTCTAGACCTGCTGCCCCTCTCTCTGGAACCCAGTGCCTCTCTGGTGCCTTGGACAAGGCCCTGCAGCCTGGGGAGTTGCCAGCCCCGCTGGCCTTTTCCCAGCCCTGCCTCACTCTAGGAACCCTGAGCTTCCCAGCAGCCAGGGCCCCTCCCTCCCTCTCTCTCTCTCTGAAGGCAGAGAGAGACTGCTGAGCTCCTGGCTCACTGCCTCTTATAGGGGCCAGCTGGGCCTGATTGGGGCTTGGCCACAGCTGAGCCTACCTTCCCTAATCAGCCCAGGCTTCTTGCCCCAGCCACAGCTCTCCTCTGCGCTGTTTTCAGCCCCAAAGGGCAGGAGCGGGGTAACCACCCCACTACATATCCCTTGTCAAACTGGCCACAGAAGATGCACCACGTGATTTTCCCTTTAGCTCCTGCTCTTTGTACCTTCAGCCAACTCAGCTGAAAAAGTGGGTAAAAGTCAAGAGACCTGTCCCCATGATTCATTCTACATCAGAACACAGGATCATTCTCCTTGCTCACTGCCCTTGCGTGGAATCCTGCATTAGACTACACCATCTCCTTAATGTTATTGTTTACAGCAAACTCGTGCCTAATGTTCAAGATGGATGACTTATTAATTCAAAACTGTAAATTCTTCCCCTCTCCCCATATTCAAAGTATTGATGATGATTGCTGTCCGCTCCATTTGGAATCATTTCTGAAATACACAGTACCACCTACAAGTATTTGGAAGCAAAATATGACCCTCAAGCTCAACTTTCTTTCTGAGCAATAAGGATGAAACTTGATTAAATGTAACCCGATCATAAAAAACAAAAAGCATCATTTTGAATACAATAACCTTGAGTTCCACTTTCCCCCAATCTGGCCCCAAAGTCATCTTAATATTATTCTCAGAGGCAACAGGAAATCAATTATGGTAATAGATAGAAATGTTTATATCAACGGTAATTTTTTTAAAAAATAAATGTTTCCTGTGAACATAAGGTTTGACCTGAAGCCAGTG